AAGTTACGCTGTCTCTAGTACAAGTAAAACTTCCACCCGTTGAACGGTTTGCCTACTTGAAGATGTGTTTTTAAGGGCACGGATAGAGCTTCCGACCACCCTTAATTTCATTGACCCTCCACACGAGTTGAGGAAAAGGAGTTAAGAGAAGTACTCTGGCGAGCGCCAGATGTACAGAAATTGCTCTTCCTCGACTAATAAGGGTCAACCGTGCAAAAGACTACAGTTGGAACCCCCGCCAAGTGAATGAAAAAAAAATAAAATATAAAATGAAAGTGAAAAAAAGGGGTTCCAACGGTGAAATGAAGTGAAAGAGCACCCCGGTACAATGAGTCCTTGGTTGTGAATGGTGTGAGTCCCTTTATCCATGAACTAGCTGTCTTACTCCCATTTCTTCTCATGATCCTGGCTTGAGTCTAGTACTCGCATTGAGAGAGATAGGGAACGTCTTAGAAGACCAGTTGACCTCGTAAGCTGCTATATGATCTAGGAAATCCTCTACTGACGATTGGGGTTGTTTGTTGCTATAGAGGTCTGGAGAGTTGCATTGGTTTGAGTTAGGTTTGCTTGGGGACAAGCAAACAGTTAAGTGTGGTGGAATTTGATAGACCATTGATTGCACATGTTTTTATCCCTATTCTTGAGCCGTTGGAGATGTTGATTCTCGTGTTTTAAGCCGATTTCAAGCTAGGTTGTGTGTTTATGTCATATTTCAGGGCTTGGCATTGATGTTGAGGCAAAGAAGCAAGTTTCGAGTCAAAAGGAGGACGTTTGGATTCTGACCAGAAAGCAAAAATACCCGATCGGGTATTCTTAACCTCGATCGGGTATTAAAGGCGTCAACGATGCGCTGCATTTTGAAATCCCCGGCCGGGCACCTGAAATACCCGACCGGGGATTATGGCCGGGGATCGCGAGCAATTGGATTTTAAGGGAAAGAAGGCCAATTGTGAAGGGGTTTCGAGTTTTAGAGAAAGAAAGTGATACCTAGAGAGAGAGCGACGAACCAGAGTTCCCAAGCGCTTTAGATCGATCTTCATCATCAGTGGAGCTCGGATAATGCTTGGAGAAGTGCCGATTGCTGACTAGAAGCATAACCCCATTCTTCACAGCATGATTTCTGCTTCTGAGCTAGAGTTTGCTTCTCTCTCCATGGAGTAACTTTCACATTCACCTGGGTATGAAGAACCCTAGATTTTTATGTTAGGTCTGATTGTATGAACCCAAGTATGAATCCATTGATTTGATTATATTCAATTGAGGTCTGATTTGTTGAATGGCATAAATCCTGACCAAATTCTTGTTGTTTCTGCTTTGACCTAGAAAGAGAATATCAGCCTAGGTTGATAGAGCACCCTTGATTGAAGGTAGTGAATTGACGACTTTAGTCGAGGAGTCAATTCACTATCCTGTACCGGATTTGCTTCGGTAGTGGAGGTTTGGTTCGTTAGGGCCTCAATCTGTTTACTCCGGTGGAGGTTAGTCGGCCGCTGGGGACTCAGATTGAGAGGGTCTGGAGACCTTTAGTCGAGACTACAGACTGCATAATAACCTCCCGCAGTATAATTATCTTTGAATTCGAACTTGGTAAATTACAATCTGGCTTAACTGCATTCTACGGGGAACCATATCCGGCTGACCTCTCTCAACTTGAAAACAACCTTTTACTGTTTTGCTTGCTTGTTTGTTTGGACCTTCACTACACTTTCACTGCTAAATAATAAGAATTCACGGAGTAGTCATCACACTTAGGACTCGGGTTGACATTAAAACCCAAACCCGCTATAGTACGCTCTATTAGGTGGTTACACTTGGACATTTACTAGTGTGATGGTAGAGGCGAGTCACTAGTGATGACAACCATTCCGTGAATTCTAGCATTTAGAGGTTGTCGACGTGGTGGAGAGACGATAGGGCTGAGTGTTGATGGTTGTGCACATCTTTTGCACCAAAAAGTCCTGACCCCAAATGTAGGAATATGGATTACATGTAACTCAAAATTGATCATCTAATGTGGTAATGACAATGGTCATCCATATATCAATATTTACATAATAAAAGCACACCTTAGTAACCATTTTACCCCTCATTTCTTTTTCGTTTAGCTTAGTATTTCATCGTTCCTCGACATATTTCACGCTAGGTTGTGTTTGTTTTGATACATTTCAGGACCTAACACGTGTGGAAGGGTCGAGGTTAAATTTTGGGATAATTGGATGTCATAAAGTGAAAAAACCGAAGAAAAGTCCGTGAAGGCGTCACAAGAAACAGCTGCAGTTCACGGCCGGACGAGGCAGTTCACGGTCTCCTAAGAAACAGCCGCAGTTCACAAACCGTGAACACCGAGGCGTCCAGCGAGGTTCCTGAAGTTACTGACGACAAGGCAGTTCACGGTCTCTAAGACCGTGAACTGCGGCCATTGACCGTAAACCCAGGAAGCAAGGTGGTGCGTTTTGAAGACGACTGAGTTCACTGACGTGTTTAGGTGTTCACGGCCGTGAACTGGCCAAAGCGTTCGTGAAGTGATCGCTTTCGGGCAAATATGAAGAAAGCAGCGGGGGAGAAAGGAGAGCTGGTTTTTGGGAGAAGAAACACTTTCTTTCTCTAGGGTTTCAACCTAATACACCAAAGGGGAGTTCTAGTGAGTGTGAGAGAGAGAGAGAGAGAGAGAGAGAGAGAGTGCTAGTGTGATCTTGGAGCATCATTGGAGGCTTGGGTGGAGATTCAAGCCTAGAATAAGAAGATCTTGAGCTCAAATTTGTAATCCCTCTCTCTCTCTCTCTCTCTCTCTCTCTAGAAACTCACTCTTTTCTCTTGGGTGTTGTAGATCCCTAACTAATACTTTGTAATTACTTGTTTAGATTGAATGATTGTCATTGGGTTTTGTTTAATTTAATGATTGAGGTATTATTCAGGTCGATTGTGCATGTTTGTGCTTACCAATCTAAGGGTTGTGCATGTTTTGTTCTTAGCATCCTTAGGTTTGTGCATTTTGGTGCTTAGAAACCTAAGGATTGTGCATAATTGTGCTTAGCGTCCTTAGGTTTGTGCATGTTGGTGCTGGGCAATCTAATTAGCCATTTTAACCTAGTTAGAGAGGAAAATCCCCCCTTTCAAGGGAGACTCAATCGAGTTGATTTTCATTTAGCTTTTTAAGTCACCTAACTAGGTTAATTTAGGGCAGACCTCGATGTTGAATTAAGCAAATTGGTTAAGCGTGATTAAGCCGTCCAACCCTTGAGTTGAGTGAGGGAGTAAGTCACCACCGATTGCCTAAACTGAGAGGGTCGTGTGACACAATCTATAATGTTTACCTCGGTTTAGCAATCGAGATTGTGGTCTACGACCATATTTGCATCCCTCTGCGATCCGCGGTTACCAGTTTGCATCTAGGTTGGTTGTGATTAAGCTGCTCAAACTGCGGTTTGAGGGAAAGACCTAGGCAACCACTAGAGACTAAGTGAGAGGATCGATCCTGTGACAAATCGATCTCTAGCTAATCCATCCCATGACAAATGGATCACTTGTTGCTCCTCCTAGTGGTTCCCCTAGACTTGGTGAGTGGATCGATCCTGTAACAAATCGATCGCTAGTGAATTGATTCCTTGACAGATTGATCACTAGTTGCTCACCCCCGCGGTTCACAACCACCTATGCCACACGACTCTATTCAATCCAACGAGTCATGGTAGCTAGTTAGGGAGAAGCAACTCCTGGGTGAAGCTCCCTTAGTTAGAATTTGCCTTTATTGCTTGTTTAGTTTGTAGTTTTCTTAGTTTGAAAACCCAAAACCGTTTTGTTAGATAACAACTTAAGCAATTGAAGTAGGGGTACATGGACCGGCCTAGTTTGGCAATTTAAATACTTGCTCTATACTGCATCGACTAGAGTTTAAAATCTTGGGCTCTAGTCGGGATTAATTTGTTGTGTAGTTTTCGTGCAAGTCAAGTTTTTGGTGCCGTTACCGAGGACCTTACGGTTCGTTATCTAGAAAAGGTCGCTTAGTGTTACTCTAGCATTTTAAATCTTGCCTCTTTGTTTGTGTTTTGTGTTGTGTTTTGTTTACCCACTCTTCTCTTAGAAGGGTGGTTTGTGTTTGTTTGATTTTGTTTTTGTGTTTTTGTTTGTGTAGGTTATGAATCATGGATTCCAATGGCTTCTACAATAGGTGGGGGTATCCACAACCACCCGAATGGGGGTAACCCGGAGCTTCATGGAGTGAACAAGAAGGGGGAAGCCAAGGATCTGGGTTCTATTACCCCCCCCCCCCCCTTCTTCCAAGAAGAACAACCATACCATTGGGGGTATGAAGAGGCTTCCCCATATCAAGAAGGTTTCCCTCCACAACCCGAGGAGAAATCAAAGTTGGAGTTGGCTGTGGAGGCCTTCATGGGACAATCATCAAGAACAAGTGTCACTCCACAACCGGAGCCAAAGAGAAACTGGGAGCTCATGGTGGAGAAATTTTCCCTGGAGTACCGACGAGGGATGCTCCAACTTGGACCTTCCCATCACCGACCCTATCGACTCAACCTTTCTTTGGGAATCGTAGGAGCTCCTTCGACGCACGAAGAGACGAGGAGAGCTTATTGAGAAAGCATGTGCACAACTTGCTCACAATCGCCTCCTACCGTTGGAAGAAAGAGAGGAAGTCAAAGAGGCGAGCCATGATGATTTTAGAAGAACGAGCTCCGACATGGATTTTCAACCCTTCCCTCCTCCCGGTTTGATACTAGAGGAGAAAATGGCACGAGCTTGTGGAAACTATCGCCACTCATTATTGGAGGAGAAAGAGGATGTTGAAGGATCGATCAATGACAACCGTATGGAGCAAGAGATACTCACCCCGTAGAGCTCCCGTGGTGAGGATGAACAAGAAGGTTGCATTGACAACTTCTATCATCATTCCCTTCCCGAAAGCAACCTTGAAGACCAATACACGAGTGTGGAGGAGCAAGATAATCCCTTCTATAAACTTGTATCGCATTTTGCCCTTAAATTCGTGCTTGAAGACATGAATGGGAAGGAGGAAAAAGTGGTTGAAGAGGAGGAAGTGCGCATTGACGAGGAGGAAGATCTTGGGTGTTCCCATTGGGAGGAATCAAATTCTGAAGAAGGAAGGGAGGTTGAAGATGAAGAAGAAGGTGCAAGTGGAGTCCAAGATGAGGACAAGGTCGAGGTGGATGAAGCATCCACTAGTTACGAGGGCTATGAAAGCTTTCCACCCGACCTTGATGAGCTTTTGGAGAAAGACCCGTTTGCGGCTCTTTAACAAGCCAAGGCCAAACCATCGGCGATCCCTCTTGGTGGATGTGATGGTGGTAAATCGATGATGCACTACATGGTGTGGGGCAAAGAGAAAGAAGGAGAGGTCTCGTGGGTGGAGCCTCAAAGTCGATCAAGTTCACAAGCCCTCGATCATGGATTCGTCCAATGCTCGTGACTTGAGATTTCACCTCACCGACGAGAATCTCAAGTTCAAGGAGGTTCTTGGGTGGACCGAAACTTGAGGAGAAATTGTCTGACTCATGACGTTAAAGAAGCTCTTGGTGGGAGGCAATCCATCTACCATCGATTTGCTTGCTTTCCTCTCCAATAAGAAGACCATTGAAGATATTTTGGTAGTGTTTTGGACGTGACCACGCTCTTCCGGAGCTCAACCGTCCTCCACTCCCGAGCACAAACATTCACAACTTGACCGGTAACATTGTTCTATCCCCTTCTTTTACGCTATTGAGGGCAATGTCGAGCTTAAGTGTGGGGGGTAGTCCATTATGCATGTTGGTGTGAATGATTGGTGTGATTTTGAATGCTTTGGAGCCTAGATGTATGCCCAAATTTTTAAAATTTGAGGGCACCAAGCATAACAACTTCTACAGTTGCATGATCATAATGGCATCTTGTGGTGATTTATTGTTTTGAATCTCGTGGTTATTAGCATGGTCTATGGATGATTTGCTTGTGATTTTGTGCAACCTATGCTGATGACTGAGACATGTATTAGGTTTGTGCCTAGGTTCATTTCTCATGTGTTTGTGAACCGATAGATGTTTTGAATCGGTTACTTGCTTTTCACAGTTGCCTATGCATCGAGTTTAGGGAGTTAGAACAAATGATTGGGCACCTAGGTAGCCATGTGAGACTAGTGTCGTTCGTTTTATTCTTGTGCGATAGTTCCCCCTTTACATGATGTGTAGTATTCACGTTGTTGCTAGCGAGGAAGATGGAGGCATAGGTTTAGTCCACGACCCAATGTTGACCGTCCCGATCACATTATCTCCTAGTCAACCCTTTTGAGCCGTGTGTCTTAGGGTCTCTCTCGTTTTAGGTAGCTCACGCTACTTGAGCTTGATTGATTTAGATAGAACGACCCTACTTTGTTCGTGTCTACATCGTTATCGAGTCATCCTTGTGTTTGGAAGCTCCATTCATACCATTTGAGCTTAAACGAGGTTACACATGAGTGATTTGTGTATGGTTTTTCTAAGAGGTGAAGTGAGTGTGGATGTAGTTTTTCTAAGTGAGCATTGTTCCTTAAGTTAAAAAATGTGGCATGTTTATAGCTCTCTTTAGCTCCCAAAGAAAAGATAAGAAAAGAAAAAATAAATAAAAAAGAGATCAATAAGAGGGCAATGAAGAAAAGAGAGTGGCCACAAAAAATATAATAAATGTTGAACATGCTCTTAGAAGTGTTGCTTAGCATGCAAGCTTTAGGAACACTTACATGTTGTTTGCCTACCACACTCTTGTGCTTGAAATTGAATAGCAAAGGTAGCAAGAAAGATTGTTGCGAATGGTTTGGTGATTGGTTGTGGTTTGGAATCGAGGGAAGTGTGGTTTTTGGCGATGCTAGTGGCCATTGAGTATAGGAGAGGGTTCTAATTGAAACCTTAGAACCTTTTGTGGTTTTAGGATGAAAATGTGGAACCTTGTGGAATGTTTGCCACCACCCAAAAAGCCTTTTCCCCATGTCCTAGACCATAGCCAGTCATTTGAACCTATGTCCAAGACCTTCGGACAAGCTAGCAACGACACCCATCTTGTGAGCTCTAACATTTAGAGGCTATTGTCATGGTAAAGGGACGTTAGGATTGAGCGTGAATATGCACATATTTTGCATCAAATGGTCCTGACCCCACTGGTCGAGAGTGAGCAATTCTTCATCATGTTTTGTTCATTTCTTTTACCCCGGTGAGGACCTAGGTTGCTCAATCGTTCGTTCCTATGATGTGATCTTCATGCATGAGTAACTGTGATTGGTTAGTCGTCGAGGCATGTTGTGTGTTGGTTGATGAATAATGTGAGAACTCTTCTTTTGGTCATCCATATATCAATATTTACATAATAAAATATATGCTTGTGCAAAAATTTAATAAAAGAATATGTTGGTTAATTTAACACAATAAAAGTGTACAAAATGCTATTAACCCATTTGACAACTTATAGGTTTCACTTTCAAGCGAGGGCCTTTTGCTGCAAACGGTGTGGTTACCATGGTAATCGTTTTAACCAGTAGTTTTTGGATAATTTGGTTTGGTTAATTTGGATAATTGGTTTGGTTTGGTTGAAGTTCTTAGCTTGTTTGGTTTAGGTGGTTTGGTTTGGTTTCAGACACTCCTAACCAGCCAAACCAAATTAACCAGATAAATAATTAGCCATATATCTAATATATACACATATTTAATACTTTGAATAACCACTCAAGAGTTAAACGTTCATTCCTTTTAGACTCATAAAATATAAAGCTTGATATTGTTCCTATAATGTATATTTGTATATGTAAAGTGTAGACCACAACATATGAATGCCTAATTTAGATAAATCTCATACATTATGTTGGATGAAAACTTGAAAGCAAGGTCCTTTTCAGTCTATGAAAATTGCTAAAAGCCTAAGTAAATTCAAACAAACACAACAATTCATTAACCCATATCATTGTGATAAATTTTTGTTAGGTGAATACTTTTATACTAACCGTAAGATAATTGTCTTAGTTGCATGAATTTTTGTTAAGGGCCAACTATAACTATGTGTTGATTGTTATATTTTATTCATTATATAAATTGTGAATTGATAAATTAACCGAAAATTTTCTATTGATAAATTAACCGAAAATTTTCTCACTTAATGATAATGTGATTTTATATTGGTTAATCTGGTTAACCAATTAACCAAACGATTAAACTTTAGTTTGGTTAATTTGGTTGTTTTATTAGTTTAGACCGTTTGATTATGATATTGTATTTTATGATTAATAAAATTTAGTCTTATTTGGTTTGATAACAATAACCATGGTAACCATTTGAACCTTGTAGGCGAGGCGACGCTGCTGGAGCCATTCGTTTGTGAGGAAGATGAGGATATGAGCGGGGCCCACTTTCAGTCCTTGGCCACGGTGTCGGTTTCTTTCCAGCGATCTATCTTCTCCTCCTTCTAAACCAACAATCTCATCCATCCACCCCCACACCCACAGTGCTGCTCTGCGTGGTTAAAACCCTTGGGTTCGTTCCTTTTGGCTCGCGGTGGAGTTCTCTGCTCTCAGATTCCCTTGCTCCTCGCCCCAATCATCACTTCTATTCTTCCCTTCTTCATCTCCGACCTACTACTTGAACTGAGTAAGCGATTCTCTTGTTCTCGGAGCTCAATTTAGATCGATCCTTTTTTTACTTTCCGCCGTTTCCCGTTTCCAATTTCCATCACATGTATTGAGATTCCTTCCCGATTGTCTGATTATAACCTAGCGCTATTGGGTTTTCTTGTTGAATCGTTTTCAGCTGTTCGTCATGGCTTCCAACGATTCCAACAAGGATCTTCCCCCATCTGGTATATTCCTCATCTACTTGGCTTCTCTTCTCCGTTTTTGGGGATGGTTCTAAAAGTGGGTTTTGTTTTCTAAGTCGGGGAAACTTCCTATTGCTTTCAATGGTTATTGAGATGATGATCCAACCCCACTGCATAATTCCTTTTCTTCATTCATCCATGTCCACGGGCCCTTATCTCCTGAAAGCCCGAATACCTTTCTGGATATGTACAAGTTTACATGTTGACATAGAGCACAGTGAATCTCCAACAAAAATCTCCCTGCGGAAATATCTTACAACTCTTCTCTTGCACTTGAAATGCAATGGTCCGTTCCAGATGCCCTGAGTTGTGCTATTGATAGGCAATCCAAACTCTTCTCTTCTGCTCATTTCAACATTATCTATAATTCGCCAGATGCATTGAGTGCTGTCAATTTGTTTGCGGCCAACCATAGAAGTAGTCTATGTAATATCCAATGCTAACCATTCCACCGAATCCTGTTCTTGTTTCTGCTGAGCTTTATCTCCCTTTATGGTGTGTATGTGGTATATAACTACGATCAAAGATTCTGGTTCATACTGCCGTCAGGGCTCTAGACTTAATGGCTTTGGTGATAGTTCTCATATTTCTTTTACCTGTTACAATTTGAATAAACGTAGGTTTGAGAGAGAAAACTACTAAACCTGAAGCAGCTTCTGCAGCATCAGAGTCAGGGCAGGGAAGAGCTTCTGCTACACCAGGAGCAGCTTTTGCTCCAAATCCTTTTGATTTCTCAGCAATGTCCGGCCTGCTTAATGTATACTTCCCTACTTAAATTATTTAATGTTGTCATGCCTCAGCTTCTGTTCTTTGTTCTGCGATTATTATCTAAACTGCAACTCCTGTCCGTGTGTGTGCGGGAGGAGAGACAATGTTTTTGGTAATCAATTTGAGAATCTCTTCTTGAATGCATGTGGAAAGGATTTTTGTGAGCCCTGATGCATATGATTAAGGGGTGGTCAATGTAAATTTGTGCTGCCTCATAGCATTTGACTAAAGGTTTTGGAGAGCTGGCTTGGTTTTTAGTAAAGGGTTTTGTTTCCTTTGGATCAGTAGTGCACTAGATGTAGCTTATTATTAGGCTAATGCCTTTTGGGTACTATTTGGGAAAAACATGATATGAGTACTTTCACTACTGCATATAAAAAATATCATAGTTGTGGTTGTTGTGTTCTCTTCAGTACAATAAAAAAGTGGATACTATTACTATTAAATGCTTTGTGAAGCTATTGTTGTAATCTGCCAGCTCAAGATGCTACACCAACAGGATTGCTTAAAAACATATCGAAACCCTATAGTGTATGTGTGATGTTTCTGTGTAGCTATGGTTTTTGGAGAAGATGTTGAACCTATTCACAATATGTGTGACATCTTTGTTGGCTTTGGAGCCATTGCCTTTGTCATTATGATTTGTCTTTGATCAGTTAACTGTCTGTAGTGATGGTATGGTTCTTTTGTCACACTGACCATTGTGATTCATGAATAGGTTTCACGCCTAGTTAGTTGATTCATGAAAGTGGGGTTCCCCTTCTTTCATTATCTGATCTCTTTTCTGATCTTTCCTCTCATTTTCTGCCTCAATGACTTCTTAAATAAACTTGTTGTATTTGTAGGATCCTAGCATTAAGGAACTAGCGGATCAGATAGCAAAAGACCCTTCATTTAATCAGATGGCAGAACAGCTGCAGAAAACATTCCAAGGTGCAGCTGTTGAAGAGACTGTGCCTCAGTTTGATACACAGCAATATTACTCTACCATGCAGCAGGTTATGC